GTTTGCGCGGCGCTATGGCGAGAGCAACAAGTTTGAAAACGACCTGTGCTCCAGCCTGGCATCTCCTTCAACATGTTGAAAGGAATAAGGCGGCGCTAAGGCGAGAGCACAGGTTCGAAAACTACCCCCTTCCAGATTTGAAGTTGCTGCACATGTTTAAGATGTGTGTGCACGGCGCTAGGACGAGAGCCACAATTTGAAACCGTCCTGTGCTCAATACTGAAAATGCTGCAATATGCTAGAACGGATGTGCGCGGCGGCCAGCGTGAGCCACTTTTTGAAAAGGAGCCGCCCTCGATCCTTGAAGCTGCTGCAGACTTTTGGAACGAATGTGCACGGCGCCCGTGAGAACACTGCAAACGTTGACGGCGAATGTGCGCGGCACTACGGCGCGAGCGACATTTTGAAAACGACCTGTGCCCCATCCTCGAAACTGTTGCAAATATTGACACACGAATGTGAGCGGCGCTAGGGCGAGAACAACATTTTGAAAACCACCCCCTTCCAACTTTGAAGCTGCTGCAAACGTGTGAGACGAATGTGCGCGACGCTACGGCGATAGCCACATGTTGAAAACTACATGTGGTCAATCCTTGAAACCGTTGCAGATTTTGACAAACGAATGTGCGCGGCGCTAGGGTGAGAGCCACATGTTGAGAACCACTCTCCATCCTTGAAACTGCGTAAACGTTGAAACCGAATGTGCGCGGCACTATGGCGAGAGCCACATGTAAAAAGCGACCTGCGTTCCATGCTTGAAACCGTTGCAGATTTCAGCTTTCAAGCTACAGGGTCATGAAGGCGAAGAGGTCTCAGGCCAATCGCCTGGCCAGCCCTACAGACAGTACTGGGGGTGCGACAGGGAGCTCGCGTACAAGAAAAATGTATGGAGAGAGGGGCTGAGGAAGGGAGGATGGCGTTCATGGTTCTCCTCATCATCCTCCTCATTCACCTCCTACGCCTCCTCCGCATCTTTCCAGGAGCGAAAGCCGCACCCGACGATTGCGAGCGACTGTTGGTCGGAGCGCTCCGCGGAGCGCTAGACAAACGAGAGTGCGGGCGAGGCTAAGCTCGCCCGCCCCCAAGTGATGTCGGGAGGCGGGGTGGGCCTCCTTCGCCTTGTGCGCAGCACGGAAACAATGACCTCCTCCTCCTCCTCCTCCTCCTCCTCCTCCTCCTCCTCCTCCTCCTCTCCTTCCTCCTCCTCCTCCTCCTCCTCCTCCTCCTCCTCCTCCTCCTCCTCCTCTCCTCCTCCCTCCTCCTCCTCCTCCTCCTCCTCCTCCTCCCCCCCTCCTCCTCCTCCTCCTCCTCCTCCCTAGTCCCCGCAGAGGGCGGAGGCTCCCGCGCCCTCCGCGGCGACCCCTGCCTCGGAGGACCCCCAGGCTTGCAGCGGACGGGTAAAACACACAGCTTCGTCAGTCCCTGGACGTGCTGGAGACTGCGCCGCACGCGTCAAAGCGTGGTGCGGCGGCATCCGGTGCTTGCTCGAGGCTGCCCCGCCACACGGTAGACAACGCCTACGGCGGGCCCTGGTGAATTCTCGAAGAGGCTTCGCACGTGCAAACACGCTCACGGCGGCCGTTGGGGCTTGGTGGGCGGGAGCGGCCCCCCACGTGACAGCACGCTTGCGGCAGCCCCCGACTGGGACTTTTTTTGGGAGAGCACTCCGAACGTGAAAACACACACACACACACACACACACACACACATCAAGTCTCAACGCTGACGGTGCCCCGAGGCGCAACGAATCGCGGAGCGAGGCCCCCACCGATGCAGGGCCGCTGTGCCCTTGCGCGTGACGCGCCGCGCTACCTCGAAATCCCGATTTCCCCGCGCCCTGGCGGTGCCTCGAGGCGCTACCGAACGAGCAGCGAGGCCCTGGCCGACGCGACGCAGCTGCGTCACCCACGTGCGAGGCCCCCGCTCGAAGCGAGACCCCGGCCGATGCGGCTGATGACGCGTCTCCCTGGGGCCCGCGTGGGGATCGAGGCCCGGGGACGCACTGACCCCAGTCAGTGTGAACCTGGATCAGTCAGGCCTTGCAGGATCCTGCGCGCCAACTAACCAGGTTCAGTGCAGCCCTGGCTGTGCAGGACTTTCAAGATCCGGGGCTCTGGCTGACCCCCGCCTGCACTGACCCCCGTCCCAAGGCACCCGAGAGGCGAACAGTATTTCCCCCCCCCCGCGCAAGCGAAGCAGGTGTTGAAGGGCCTGGGCCCAGGGCGGCGCGAGCGCGCATCTGAGCATCCCACTCCCAACACTCCTGAGGACATGGTGGGACGCGTGCGCTCGATGCCTGGCACACTTTGCTGTCCCGGTTAACTGGTACTAAACCGCAACCATAAGGGTAGAAGTAAGAAGCAAGAATCGTCCCAACAAGACCATACCTCGGAGACTCAAAGAGCCTCAAATCGGGTAGCCTGCCGTGCAGTATCCCAGGGACGGCGCACTGTCCCGGTACAGGGGAGCATCCTGCCGCAGACGAACGAACTGATGTAAAAACGAAAATGCGGGGTCAAGATGGCGACCTCCACTGTGCAAAATCCTTCCTGACAGCAGGTGTAACTCCAACAGCAATCACGACGAAGACCTTCAGCGAAATAGCGCAGTCCCATGGCCGCAACCCGGCGATCCGGCGGGCTGCCAGTAGCCGCGCAACTGCGAAGCTTGAATACGATTTCGCTGAAGATCAGACCAGAAGCATCAGAAGAAACCTGTAAAGCAAAACCCCGTTTGTTGGAACATCCGCTCTTGCTGTAATCTCAGAGGCCCTCAAGGGGCGGTGTGGAGAGCGTCGCAATTGACGTGGAGAAGCATGGCGGACTGCCGAAGAACATCACGTCGTATAGACATGTTAGTCTATGCGTACATTGCTTCACGAATTTTGGCAATTGCCGTAGGTTGATCAGCATCTCGTGCGCCAAAAACCCGCCTCGCCACCAGCACGCCCGTCACCCGACGAAGCTCTCGAAGACGTGCTGAGTAGGCCGAGCGATGGAGAACCCCACAGCTGGCCGTAGGCGCGTCGGGATCTATACCATGTTCATCAGAACTTACTTCCAAAAAAAACCGATTTGGTTGCCGCACTGGCCACCCTGGATGCGCACCAACTCGCGCATGGCTGCTTATCGGAGGAAGCTGATTTCCGATGTTGCTCGATGCCTGGCACATCCTCCTCCTCCTCCTCCTCCTCCTCCTCCTCCTCCTCCCCCTCCTCCTCTTATTTTGACTACTATTATTAGCATTAGTATTAATATTATTAGTATTAGTATTATTATTATCATTAGTATTATTATTACTATTAATATTAATATTAGTAGTATTATTAGTATTATTGTTATTGTTGTCATTATTATTATTCGTAATAGTAGTAGCAGTAGTAGTATTAGTGTTATTATTATTAATAGTATCAGTATTAGTATTAGTATTATTAATCTTCTTCGTAATATTATTCTGAATACTATTATTATTCTTATTCTTATTCTTCTCATCAGTATTCTAATTATTATTATTCTTATTCGTATTATTCATACGCGTCTTCTTATTACTCTTCTTCTTAATCATCATATGATTATTCTCATTAGTCTTATTCGTATTCTTATTACTCTTGTTATTATTCGTCTTTTTATTCTCGGTCGTATTCTTATTATTCGTCTTCTTAATTTGAGTGGTATTCGTATCATTCTTCTTATACGTAGTAGCATTCTTAGAGTTATTATTATTATTATTATTCGTCTTCTTCCTCTTCTTCCTCCTCCTCCTCCTCCACCTCCTCCTCGTCCTCTTCCTCCTCCTCCTCCTCCGCCTCCTCCTCCTCATCCTCCCCTTCCTCCTCCTCCTACTCTTCCTCCTCCTGCCCCGAGGGGGCCCCTCCCGCAGGGGAAGGGTCGGGGCCCCGGGGCCCTCCTGGCGCAGGCGGGGAGCGCCGGGCCCGAGGGGCGAAAAGCCCCCGCCCCCCTGGGACGGCCCCCATAAGCGGGGCCCCCTTCCCAGGGGGGGCTGCCAGGTCCCGGGGCCTCCCCCAGGGCGGCGCAGGGATTCTCCCCCTGCGTTCGCCGCCTTGGGGCGGGACTGGCGGTCCGTCTCCCCGTCGTGTCGTGTCGTTGTCGTCGTCGTCGTCGTCGTCGTCATCGTCGTCGTCGTCGTCGTGGTCCCGGGGTCCGGGCCCTTTTTTGCCCTGCCGCTTGGGCGCGCGGGTGGCCCTGCCGTTCGGCCTCCCCCTTCGTGGGGGCGGCTCCGTTCGGTTGGGGCCTCCCGCCTGCCCGTGGGGCGGGGCCTTTTCCCCGCGTCGTTCGGTCGGACTCGCCCGCCGGCCGGGCGCGCGGGGCACCGCGGCGGGGCCGCGTGTGACTTCCTGCGGGCTGAAGGCGCGGTGGCGCGGTGCGGCCAACAAAAATATCCTCCTCCTCCTCCTCCTCCTCCTCCTCCTCCTCCTCCTCCTCCTCCTCCTCCTCCTCCTCCCTCCTCCTCCTCCTCCTCCTCCTCCTCCTCCTCCTCCGCCTCCTCCTCCTCCTCCTCCTCCTCCTCCTCCTCCTCCTCCCTCCGGCTCCTGCTCCTGCTCCTGCTCCTGCTTGCTCCTGCTCCTGCTCCTTCTCCCTCCTCCTCCTCCCCCTCCCCCCTCTCCCCTCCCCCTCCCCCTCCCCTCCCTCCTCCTCCTCCTCCTCCTCCTCCTCCTCCTCCTCCTCCTCCTCCTCCTCCTCCTCCGCCTCCTCCTCCTCCTCCTCCTCCTCCTCCCCCTCCTCCTCCTCCTCCCCCTCCCCTCCCCCTCCCCCTCCTCCTCCTCCTCCTCCCCTCCTCCTCCTCCTCCTCCTCCTCCCTCCTCCTCCTCCTCCTCCTCCTCCTCTCCTCCTCCTCCTCCTCCTCCTCCTCCTCCTCCTCCTCCTCCTCCTCCTCCTCCTCCTCCTCCTCCTCCTCCTCCTCCTCCTCCTCCTCCTCCTCCTCCTCCTCCTCCTCCTCCTCCTCCTCCTCCTCCTCCTCCCCACCCCTCCCCCTGGGCAGGCCCTGCGCCGCGGCGCGAAGACGAACGCCAATGCCAGCGCCGCCACAGACGCACCCGCCGCCAGGGCCAGCACCGCGGCGGCGCGGCGCGGCCGCGAAGGGGAGGCGCCCATCCGCCCCCGGGAGGGGAGGGGGGGTGGGCGGCAGCAACCCCTGGCAGCGCGCACGAGGGGGTAGCGTGAGCAGAAGCCTCTCAGGTGGTGTCGGAATGGATGGGGTCCGAGGATCGGCAATGCATCGCCGATGCCTCGGCGATCCCCATCTACTCCGACCTCATCCGGGAGGCCTGGGGTGAGGGGGGCGGGTGTTGTTTGTTTGATTCGTTTTGTTACAGAAAGCCTTTTCAGAATTCAGGCCCCTGAGGCAATCAGACAGCCAAATCTGGGTGCTTCCAGACAGCCCTTTCAGAATTCAGGCCCCTGAGGCAATCAGTAAAACGAAGCCAGGACGACGGTAAAATCAAGTGCGGGTAAACCGAGAATCCCTGGGATCTGGCGATTCTGGAATATGTATTGGGTGCCGCAGCCTTCCCAAAACTATCCGGAACGCTATGAGAGCGCTCCAGCACGCACAGGAACTTTAACGAATGGACCCATGGGGGCGAGGCCTCTGGGGCCCCAGGCTGAAATCCGCCGACCCTGTCGGCGTGTGCGAAACGCTTTCGTCCGTGTGGTCGCCGCCATCCCCCCTGCAGCAATCCACTCCATCCAATACGCCACATAACATCGTTGACATGGAGGTGCAGGCGAAGCAATCCACTCCAGCCAACAGGCCACATAACATCGTCCACATGGAGGTGAAGGCGAAGCCCTTCCCTTGGATCCCTTCCCGGGGCGGAGGGGGTCCCGGGAGGGGGTCCGGGGGGGGGCAGTCCCGGGGGGTGGGGTGGTCCCGCTGGGTGGTCCCAGGGGTGGTCCCGGGGGTAATGTGTCTGTTTCTCTACTAGGGACCTCACTCCAACAGCTCCCCCTCCTTCTCCGAGGTGAAGGTGAAGCCCTTCCCTTGGATCCCTTCCCAGGGCGGGGGGCGGCGGCCCCGGAGGGGGGTCCCAGGGGGGGGTCCCGGGGGAGGTCCCGGGGGGTGGTCCCGGGGGGTGGTCCCGGGGGCTGGTCCCGGGGGTGTCCCGGGGGTAATGTGACTGTTTCTTCACTAGGGCCCCCACTCCAACAGCCACCCCTCCTTCTCCTTATCTCCTCCCCACTCCCCCGCGCAAAGGATCCGGGGCTGGCCACTGGGCGGCTATCGGGCGTACTGCCATTGTGCTGCGACTTCACGCGGGGGTTCTTACTCGTGCTCTTCCTGCTCCTCCTTACGTCAGGAATCGTGCTGACCTCCGCTGTCTTGGCTACTCCTATACATTCCCAATCGGCGCCGGCGCGAAACGTGGCGTTAGTACACCCCCTGTAACGCACGTCATCGCCCGGGAATCGAGAAATTACTCGACACGGAGATCCCCTGATGTGCATCTCATACCCCGTATCGCGCATTGTTGAAGAATTCTATCTGGGAGTATCTGGGTGTGGGATCGAATCCGCGTAGACGACAGGCGCGGCAATGATGACGACAGGGACGACTTCAGTGACGTCCTCTTCTGCGAGGTGGGGATTTATCCAGATCCACCGCCTGGGAACCGACGTCCTGGCGCCCCAGCAGGCGGCGGATAGGGATATAGTTTGGCCCCTGCGGGGCCAAATACATCCATATTCACCGCCTGCCGTAGTCTCCGAATCTCAATCCCCCAGGCTGCGGTTACATATAAATCCACGCCTCGGATCCACCCCCTTTCGATATCTTTCAGGAGAGACGAGGGGAGCAAAACTGGAAGAGCCAAGGGGGATTCCTGGTGCCGCTCTCCCCACGCCAACTCAGGCAAGCGCGCATGGAGTTGCTACGCCCGCTCTCTGGCGTGCTACTCGCGGCGCCTGCTGGCACTTGGGGTACTCAAGTGCCACGCCGGCTATATCGCGGTAGCGATTTGTGAGTGAGCCTTAGTGCGAGTGAATCTGAGCGTGGGTGATCTGAGCGCGAGCGAGTCGGAACGCGAGTGCATCCAGGTATAATCCTACCTGAGTGTGAGTGAGTCTGGGAATAGTCAGTGTGAGTGGGCCTGAGTATGAGTGAGTCTGAGTGCGAGCGAGGCTAAGTGCGAGCGGGTCTTAGTGTGAGCGAGTCTGAGTGTGGGTGAGTCTGAATTTCAGCGTGACGAACACAATTCTAAGTATGTGTGAGCCTGGATGTGAGGCGAGGCAATATGACTATGAATAAGTCTGAGGGCTGGTGAGCCTGATTGTGAGAGGAGTGTGAGTTGGTTTGGGTACGCGTGAGTCTAAGCTTGAGCAAATCTGAGTATGAGCGAGTAAGAAAGTTTGTCTTAGCACGGTCGACTCCGAATATGAGCGAGTCTGAATGTGATGAGTGAGTCTGAGTGAAAACGAAATGCTGATGAGTAAGTCCAAGTGCGAATGAGTGTGTCCGAGTGGGAAAAGTGAGAAGGAGGTGAGTGAGTGAGTGAGGAGCACACAAATCCGAAGGAAAGTCTATGGGGGCAGAAACAGGCAAACCGCCTGAGACGACCCCACAATGTGAGCGCGAATCCTGAAGTGTCACCACCCCTGGCGACTTCGCCTTGGGGCGCCCAAGTGCCACGCCTGCTATCACGCGGTGAGCATTGGACCACCAACAAAAATCTGAGGGGGGGGACAGAAACAAGCAAAACGCTAGAGACATCCCCACAATCTGGGCGCGAATCCTGGAGTGTCCCCACCCTGGCGCCCCCCCCTTAGGAGTGCTGAAACAAGCACCTCGCCCGAGACATCATCAGAATCTGCTCCGAAAGCAAAGGATGTGACGGTCCGAAAGAAGCAAAACGCCTGAGAAACCACCACAATCTGGGCGAGAATCCTAAAGCGCTCCCACTCCTGACGCCCTCCTTTATGAGTGCTGAAACCAGCGCCTCGCCCGAGACATCCTAAGAATCTGCACCGAAAGCAAAGGGTGTTGGGCACGCGAGCAAGCAAACCGCCCGAGACATCCCCCAAAATCTGGGCGCGAGTCCCCGAGGGTCCCCAACGCCCAGCGCCTCGCCAATGAGACATCCTCGGAACCTGCTCCGAAAGCAAAAAAGGTGTTGGGCATGCAAGCGGGCAAACCGCCTGAGACATCCCCCAAAATCGGGGCGCGAATCCTGGAGTGTCCCCACCCCTGGCGCCCCCCCTTAGGCGTGCTGAAACCAGCGCCTCGCCCGAGACATCCTAAGAAACTGCACCGAAAGCAAAAGGTGTTGGGCATGCCAACAAGCAAACCGCCTGAGACATCCCCACAATCTCGGCGCGAACCCTGGGGTGTCCCCACCCCTGGCGTCCCCTCCTTGGGGGGCCCAAATGCTACGCCTGCTATATCGCGGTGAGCATTGAACAACAAATAAACATGAGTGAGTTTGAGTCTGAGCATCTTGTGGGCCGCGGCGGGGTCATCCCTTGCGCGCTCGTCCTCTACACCCACGGTCTGGCTTGGCGTCGCCAGCTACCAATGACGATACTCGATGTCGTTGTCAAGACAATGGAGGTTCGGGAGCCTGGAAGCCTGCGCGCTGAGGTCCAGAACAGGAGTGGCAGCGGCAGAGAAGGCCAGGGGATGGGGCGGCGGCGGCCAAAGATGATTTTAAAAACGCTGAAAACGTGTCTTTGTTTTTCCGTTTGGGGATTCTCGGTCGCGCCGTTGTCGGTCCGGTTCCGTTTTGTGCAGCCGGGGTTTCGTCTGTTTTGGGCTGCCAATTATTTCCTCTTCGGTTGGCCGAAAGCCGAACAGTTGAAAACTAAACAAACCGTTTGCAACATCAGCTAACGCAGCGGCGAGCGTCGAAACGCACGCCGCCAGGACAGTCATGCCGCACTCGCTCTCATGACGCGTCCACGACGCCGATGCTGTGAGAACGCCGCCGAAGAGCAGGCGTCAAGGTCGAGCACAACGGCGCAGCAAGCAGGGCATAGGACAGGCGGGGGAGCTGGGAGGGCTGCGTCGCTGCATCTGTCCTCTCTCTCTCTCTCGCTTGCGTTTCTTACCCTCTGCATCACCATGATCAGCAGCCTAAGCCTCATCATCAGCAATGTCATCATCGGCATCATCATCACCATCATTCCCAATCGTCCCCATCCCCTTTCTCGGCATCATCTTCCTTTCTTCTAAGTACCACCACCTTTCTCCTATGCCACCATCACCACGATCAATATGTATCATGATCCTCCTCCGCTCCCGTCAGATCTGGGGCACACACAGATGGGCGGCGCGAGGGAAAAGGAAACGATCAGAAGGGCAAGAACATAACGAAGAGAAGGCCACAAAGGGGATGCGAGAGGCAACGCCAGATGGGGTCCGATCAGTGACAAGTAAAGCACGGGAGAGAGAGAGAGAGAGAGAGAGATGTAAAAACCAACACACACACACACACACACAAGCATGAAGAGAGACATAGTGAAGATCTGGAGGCTTCGGAGGACTTGAGGCTGCTGAGAGCACGTGGTCCCAAAAGAGACTGCTGAGGACAGGCGCCGGCCACACCAAGAATGCCTAAAGGATCAGCCCAATTCTCGGCGCCCTACCCCAATGCGACCGAGGCCATCCAAGAATCGACCTGCCCTCAGCAGACAGAGGGAAGAGAAAGAGGCAGATGCCACTAACAGAAAGAGGGAAAAAGAGAGAGAGAGAGACAAAAAGGAGAGAGAGATAGAGAAGAAACAAACAAAACTCCTCGCGCCGCGGGAGGACGGCGGAGCAGAGGGGAAGGCGGACCATGGCATGGCGGACCCGATCTCAGAGGCACGATTTGAGGCATGCCTACCTGGATTCGGGACCCCGCTGTAAGGGAAGATTGAGAGAGGCAACCTCTTTTGACTGCGATATCGAGCGGAACCTGTCTCGAGCCCCTCAGTAGGCTCCACATGGCAACCCTAGAACTTTGCACTCGGTTTCCGTCCTGCCTGGAGGAGCCGCCAGGCCACCAGGGGATATTGCACGGGCCCGTTCGCGGCCAGGCAGTGGGGAACATTCGCCTGTTCGCGGCCAGACCATGGGAAGACCCCGAGCGAGGTTGCCATGATCACAATGATCATCATGGTCTCTTCCCTCTCGCTTTCGAAGCCCTGCATCTGTACACCCC